CATTGCTGTTTAACAGCTACTCGGGTGGCAAATAAAACAGTTCTAATAATCTGTAAATAATGGCATAGTACTTTTCCTTATTAATGTGAATCTAAGAGATGCTAAATGGCAAAAGTAGAACACAGGTGCCCAATCAGTTTCCCCGCAAAGTTCCTGCAGTCACTACAAGGTCTACTCTGGACCGCAGGGTCTGCTACCTGTAAAAAGGGTGGGATGAGTAGAAGAAACCACCTCCCAAACTGCCCACCAGCTCTCAAATTTCCTGCCTCAAACTCTCAAGCAACTAGTGAATGAGAGCTAAGCATTGCCAGCTTCCAGATAAACACAGCAATCCTCCTTTAACTGGTAACAGCATGGACACTCTTTTCACAGAATATAGCTGTTTTGATCTGATCCTCTCACAGTCACCATGTGATATTCTACCAGTCAGCTACTCACTTTTCTTACAGAAATAAACACTGCTACAAGTGAGAGCCCTGCCACTTGCACTTTTGTGATTTTTTTTTTTAAATGATGTCTCAACAGTTTGTACCTTTGGCCACATGCAGTAGCACCTTCAGCTCCACTCACTGCGTACAGCCTGTGCAAAGCAGAAAACAAATGCTTCCAAGTCAAGGACTCCACAGTTACAGCTGCATTCCCACTTCAAAAATTGCTGAGGGCATTAGCCAGGTTAATGCAGCTGGTTGTAAAACACATTCAAGGACCAGGCTAGAAAGCGGAGAGGCACTTTTTCCAGAGCATTCTCTGAGGGCAGTGGCTGACCCTGATGCAGCTGCTCAAAAGCAGACCCAGGATACATAGGGGACTACAGGGCACAGTAAAGAGGAGCAGAACACAGAGTAACCTGGAGCACCAGGGGATGTGCCCCAGCGCACATCAGCATCAATGCTGTACCATACCCTCTGACTAACACAACAGCGTTATGTTTCTCCCCTCCCTCCCAAACCAGCTTGAATCTGTGCTGCTGAGTCATGCACCAGCACAGAGATGAAATATTAATGCCTGGCCAAGAATTAGCTTGCAACTCCAGTTTCAAAACGACAGCTTCACTGATGGTAACAGAGGAAGCAGTTAAAATTACAAGCCATCTACTAAGAAAAGGGAATTTAAGAAGAGCCCTTTAAATAAAAGCATCATGATGGCAAAAGTTTAGACCCTTATTTTTAAATTTGGAATTAGATGCAAAGCAACTGTTAAAAGAAGTTACTTGAGTCTTCAATACATTTGTTTTTTTTCAATAAAATTACAACAAAGCTATCATACACATTTCCTTTAGGCAAAAAGTAGTCCACATTAAATACTTTAAATGCAAGTCTAACACTAAGGAGTAAAGAATGCAAGCAAAGCCCAACATTAACGAATTGTGACAAACTCTATTATAACTTTTTCTGTTTGCCAAATATCATCAGTTTTATAAACATATAGGCATTGTTAAAAACATTGGCATCAACAAATGCCTTAAAAAGTGTATGTTGTGTGACTAAAGTAGTACTCAATAACAAATTCTAATGCTTCCAAAACAATCATCAGTTAACATTAAGACTATCTGTTCTTCTCCAGTCATTGCATACATTATGATCACAATTTCACATTTTAATGACCCAAAGACTGACAAAAAAATTGTACACTTTTCCAGTGTGGTTCATCACTTGCTACCTTTCTAGCATCACCATGCAGCAATCTGAGTGCTTTCTGTCATTTAAAAGACTTAGACTTGGAAATGAAAGTATGCATCTTAATGCATCAGTTTATTGGACTGATTATATTCTCCATCACCATCTGGGCATATGTTCCACTCCCTTGCGTACGAGTATTAATGTTCAAAGTGCCTTCCATTTGCTTAAAGCCCACTGCTCTACGTCAGTCTAGTTCACTCTGCATTTTGATTCTGCACCTGCTACAGCTCTAGCCAGCCAATCCAGGTGCAAACTTTAGCACTGATACATTACCAAAAGAATAGTAGCTTTAAAAAGACTTAAATTAACCTGAATTTCTGGAAGGAAGTCTGGGCAAACAGAAACAGAACAAAGGAGCATGTCCCTGTAACACTGAAAAGCTCAAGATAAAGACTTTGTTTGAATTGTGGATGAATACGATTGAATAACCACTTCTTTTTTCAGCTGTATACTCTTCAAATCCCAGATAGCAACAGCTCTGCAGACTGCCTGGAAATGATTCATCACCCTGCTTCACACCCATGGTAATTAAATCACTGACATCAAATTTAATTCTACATAAGAGTTTACTGAACACTCCTTT